TTGGGAGTCTTCCCTAGCATCCGCTGCAGCCGCAAGCCGTTGGACATGTTTGCATTGCTGTGCTGTGTTTTCACGTGGATCCCAAGTCCTTGCTCGTTCACGAAGGTCATGGGACAGTGAGGGCACGGTATGCGCCGCTCCGGGGCCGGAGGTGGGAAGTTGATACCGGACACATGCTCTGTGACACCACCGCGAGTCCGCTCAATCTGCACGGAGCGGTAGGAGAAGGACGGAATTGAGGTGCAGGTGATTCAACGAGCTGTGGACCTGAAATTGCGTGGATGTCGATGGCAAAATATATCTATCTATGCAGATGGGGCAAAGGGTGATTACATGACCGTCTCTCGTGTGTTTGTATCACGGTGCAGCAATTATTTTTTACAAAATACGGTTGGGACGGCGCTCGTGTACGCGTTCTTTTTCGCCATTGTGTCTACTGTACCGTCCTTGCCTTCCTCAAGAACTTGAGGCAAACGGAGAATGTTTGAAAAAGTTGTACACATACATGTACGCCATGCTGAAAGTCAGTCGTTTACACCAACCTGTGACAGAGTAGTTTTTCTCTCGTATTTTTCATTTCATCACCACCGAGTTTTTTTTAAACAACAGCAGCAGCAGTAGCACTCCTGCTGTATTTACACTACATACAGCTGCTGGACCGCCGTACGACTGCTGTATATATGTACATCATCACAGCAACAGAGTTCGTCAGATGACTGAACTCACCGGATTTCCGCTGCCACGAGCGAACGCGTTGATGATGTTGCCACCTAGAACACGTACTTCAATACTGGAATTAAATTACTGTACTGTACTAAACACGCTTGCTTTTTTCTTCTTTCTTTTCTGACTGAACAGCTGTTCTTAGGCCAAGTTATTAAAGTTGATCGTCCACTGAGGTTAAATATTTGAACTCTCAAGTTTGAAGTTCGGGTCTCTTCTGCTCCTCGACCCACCCGTTCGTTCCTGCAACGCGTGCAACAATAGCATTTGATTCCTCGCCTGCCGCTGTCTCTGGCCGGAACTTCACGCTACTAGTCTGGTAACACCAGGTGTCTCGTGTATGATTCACCACTCACTCAAGAAAGCACAAGGCCCAAATACATCCCACATAAATGCGTCCCTGCTACACGCGGTTAGACTCGAACTCGACCACCACTTGCTCTCCCGCACGCCAGCTCGGACAAATGCAGATTTAGCCTTCCCAACAGACTAGCAGTTTCCCCAGCACGGCCCAACTGCGTGATCGACATCTGCTGCAGGGGCTACTTCTCCTGTCGAACAGACCCCTACCAGCCTTGTGCCCTCTCTCTGCGAACGTGTTGTTCCAAAAAAAAATGTATCGGTGGATGTACGCATAATCCGTCCACATCTCGGGTGAAGATTACGCATTCCGCGGCTTTTCACACCGAGCTCCCGACGGGAATGACGGTCTCGTCGATCTTACAAACAAGTGTCGACGTTATAACGAAGAGGCCCCGAACGCGCTTCGGGGACGCGCCCTTTTCACCTCCCCACTAAAGGCCTCGCTGCACACGGAAACAACGGCCCGTGCCAATTTCGATGTTTATATATTTCGTTCCGCTCTCCACGCGAACACCTGAACCGGCAGTGGGTGCTCCTGTTGAGGCGCTACGGAGAATTGTTGTTGTTATTGTTGTTGTTATTGTTGTTGTTGTTGTTGTTGTTGTTGTGTGTTATCGTCATTGTTTCATCTCAATAGCAGCACGAGCAGAAATTTCCAACTCATCAGCTAGCTCCTTGAGCAGCACAGAGCTTGTGGGTGCGAACTTCAGCCTCTTGCGCTCGCGGGCCCCACCTCTGCCTATCCCAAGGCATGGGTTGCGTGAGGAAATGCACAAGGTAACCATTATGCGCGTTGATTGCGTGTCCGGCGTGCTCTGTGTCCTCCCAAGATGTTGTTTCAAGGGGATATCATCTCTCTTCCCTTCGCGCTCGCCGTTGATTTTGATTTCCCCCCCCCTTTGGCGTACCGTTTTCGCAGGTCATGTCAGGTGAGCTCTTTCAGGGCGGTCATCGGGAGTCAAGGGGCGGATGTAGCCAACGTGACCTACGAAAAGGTATCAGTAGCCGAGATCTCTGCCTTTAAGCCGACTGCGGTACCATGCTGCGATTCGCCACCCAAGGTATGATGTAAGCATGCAATCGTTGAGCGTGTTTCTGTTGGCGGTGTCTCCGGAAATCGCGTAGGGGGATGTAGAGGAAACTTGACTTACTTTTCGTCGTCTCCGCCCCCCTCCCACAAGTACACAACCCTGACCTCTTCGCCGACCGTCGGCAGCTTGTCGTCGTCCGCCCGTGTCGACCTTTTTGCGACCGTAACGGTAGAGTATTTTTTTTTTTCTTGTAGAGGTTTGGCCTCTGGACGCCGCATTGCAGTCAAATCCCCGCGGTGTCCCTGGTTGTACTGTACATAGTGGCTTGGCCACTGCTCATACTTGGCCGCCTAGCATTTGATTGACTTCATAAGTCGCGAGGGAAGAGATTGCTGTACCCTTCTCCCGATAAAAATATGGCAGGCAGAAACCGCAGGAGGGAGTCTAACGCCCCCCTCCTATGTGACCCCGGTTGGGCCGTCTAGCTGGTAGAAGTGGAGGATAGGGGCCAGAGGGGCAGCCGACAGAGTCCAATGACGGGAGGAAAGAAAACCACGCTGGCCCTACTTGCCAGGAGAGAGAGAGTGAGGGCTGCCTCATTGTGTTTCATATGCAACAGCACCGGCTGCTCGAAAGATTCGGCTCTCCGAGATTGGTGACGAGAGTCCTGAAATTCGATATGGAGCTGTTGCCAGTACGATTGGGCGCGTTTCAACCTCCCGAGCAGGAGGAATTTGTTCAGGGGCCAATCGTATTAGCTGTTTAACTCACAACCGCAGCCAACAACGTTGTACTATACTCCCGATGTGTTTGAGAGCGTGCAATCCAGCAGCAGCAGACATGGATACCCAGCGAAACTGCTCGGGCGCGGTTCCTTGGACTTTGTCGTCTGCCCCTCTGGCCCCTATCCTCCACTTCTACTATTGAGCTAGACGACCCAACCGGGGTCACACAGGAGGGGGGGGGCGGGGGGGGCGTACTCTTATGTTTTGCATGTCATAGCGGTTAGACCATTGACCACGCGTCCTCGAGAGGACGGAGCATTGTTCCCACAGGACCGATCACCGATGGCCAATCGTTCCTTTCTACTTTGCCAAAGGTGGCTCAAAAATGTCTTCCCTTAGTCTGTCTATCCTAACGATATCCCTTCCCGCCTTTTCAACCCACCTCCTATGCCCCAGTACAGCTACCATCCTTTCCTCTCTATTCCATGCCTCGAACA